AGAACCGATAAGAATTAGGCTCTGATACCAAAAGGGAGCTGACTGGAAGTGTGGAGGGACGGAGGAAGAGATGTATGATTGGAAGTGTGGAGGGACGGAGGAAGAGATGTATGATTGGAAGTGTGGAGGGACGGAGGAAGAGATGTATGATTGGAAGTGTGGAGGGACGGAGGAAGAGATGTATGATTGGAAGTGTGGAGGGACGGAGGAAGAGATGTATTAAACTAAACAAAAGCAAAATAAGAAATCTAAAATTTAAATTAGATGTAAAACCACCACGGTAATACAAATAGAAGCTTCTAATTACTACCAGAAAAGAGAGTTGCCAAAGCTTTTTGAAAGAGCAGGGTAGAAGATAGCCAAGCACGCTTCTTTCGTTCAACTTCCTTTCTCATATCGTACTTAGCTATTTATAGAAGAGGTATGGACTTTATTGTGATTTAAAAGTCCGGGATAGTTTATTTTTATTTGTTTCTATGTTATATTAAACCTTTTACAATAAGATAGATAAGCCAAAATAGACAAATAGGGTAGGCCTAATACAGACAAAAGCTTGATAAGCCTATAGAGACAGAGTTGGATAGCCTATACAGACAAAAAGTGTAATGATAGACAACAACTTTACAGAGTTCAAGGTACAGAAAGAGCGCTACTAAACAGCAACTGTAGCTTGAACATGTATTTGAACTGGAATAGAACTTTAATCTTATCTAATCTATGAACAATCGTCTGATGGAGAGGTGAGTAGCCTAGAAGTAGCTTCATTTCATCATCGTCTCTTGCAATACTTGACAATTGATCTCGTTGTAGTGTTTTCTTGAATTTCTTCAATTGACTGCAGCGGCAAGTGCAGCCTGCCATTTGCTCTCTATCTGTTAAGAATCTAAATTCTTTGGAGCTTTTCGGCCAAAGGTAGATGTCGCTTTTTAGAATTGAAATATCCTTTGAACAGGCTTGAACACAGGCTTGGGTCTGGTGTAATCTTCACCATGTTACTGAAAAGTCTACCAAGCATAAGAGGAGGGTAGTGCGTTGAACTTGTTTAATTTGATAATCGCAAGATAAGACCATGGAATTCCAATGTGCTGCAAATGAAGAGTAATTTTTTGTTCAAAATTTGTTAATGTGTATCACAGAGTTCAAAACCTTATAGTATCTTGTGTTGAAAGTTTTAATGAACATCCGAAATAACTGTGAACCCCCCCAAAATATCAGCATATGAATGCATTGTGGAACTAAAAGAAAGAAATGCACGTGAATTATGAGTCGCCACTGTTTCAATTATTTTAGGGTAAACTAGCAAAAAACCTAAGTACTCGATTTTTAATTAACTTATTCACTAGTTAGATATCCCAATGTTTACGGCACAGTCCTGCACGAGTGGATCCCGAACTAATGTCATGCTGATAAGACTAAACCGATGAATGAATGCTTTGCAAGGTGATGATGGATTAATGAAATTTTGAGTGAATTTTGACTTGCGGCTGCGCGGTTAAATCCAAACATGCCTACGTACTTCCGTTTGAATAGAAGAATCAAAGTCAACGTAGTTCGATAGGCCTTTTTTAAAGGGCTTTTAAGGTTAGTGCTTAATGCATGAGTGTGTATTGCTTTGGCATGAGTGTGTATATGCTTGTCATGAGTGTGTTATATGCTTTGTGCATGAGTGTGTGTAATGCTTTGTGGCATTTGTTTGGCATCGCCTAAGATTGATTGATTTTTAGGCATGTTGCCAAAATGTTGATTTTAATGGCTTTAGCCAAAATGTATTTGATTTTAGGCAATTGTTGCCAAAAGTGCGATTTAGGCGATTGTCGCCAAAATGGTTGATTTTTAAGCCTTTGGCCAAAAGAATTGATTAATTAAGCGATTTGTCCGCTAAATATGGTTGATTTTAAGGCCGTGGCAAAATGTGTTGTTTAAGACAATTAGTTTTTTGCCAAAGATGGTGCGATTTTGGCTTTTAATGCCACGATTTATGCAATAAATCGGCCGTTCGAGCTTACACATTATTGTCGAAAGTGGCTTGATTAAGGCTTTTAGCACAATTATTGATTAATTGGACTTAAGCCCGGATTTGTTCGAAATAAAGCATTTGCAACCGTAGTTATTAATTCGAACTAGGCTCTTTTCAACCAATATTATATCGATTTAAGGCTTTAAGTACCACGATTATTGATTAACCGGGGCATTTAACTTAATCAAATTAATTAAGGCAGTTTATTTACCAAAAAATAATGAAACAAAAACACGGTGAAATGCATTATGAATTGTAGAATTATAAGCAGTAAGAAGAGAAAATGCAGAGTGCTACAATTAAATTAGGCAGAGTTTGTTACATACTTGATTAATCGACGACCGTTCTTAACTCCAGAATATGCTCCTTGCTTGGAAATATATTAATTAATTTAATTTGTTTTAATTTTAATGTCAATATCACAATAAAAATGCAATAAAAATTAAATAAAATGTCTAAAAAGCGGTAAAGAAAACGCAAGGTAGCGTGAGAGGGAGAAGGATTTCGTCGTCAACACAGACAGGAGGTGTCCAAAAATGGGCTGAAAATGGCTATTATAGGCATTTTCGGGTCCCCGGGCGACAGTGCCGCTGGCTCGGCGGGGGGTGCAGGTCCCGCCAGCTGGGCGGGGGTGCCGCTGGGAGCGCGCAGTGCCGCCGCCAGTCGGGTGGGTGCGGCAGGCCCCTGCCCGGTCTGCCGGCAGGTGTCGCCCAGGGGGTGGGGGGCCAGGCCCCGCCCGCGCGGGGTCGACAGGCGCACGCCCGTCGCGGTGGCGACAGGCCCCCTGCGCGCGCTGGCGCAGGCCTC